GTTTTAAAATATTAAGAAATTAAACTACGAAACCAAAAGAAACAAGAAATAAAAAAAAGTAAATTAGCCACCCTCAAAAGAAGCACAAAGTATTAATATGTTCTTCTCTTGTCATGTTAGTTCATATTTTTTTACCTGTGTCTTTCAATTAAATGAAAGCAAGTTCTTTTTGACAAAATACGTATTTTTAAACAGAAAATAATTAATGGTAAATTCAACATTCTTGATACAAGATTAAATTAGACATTGGAGTCTTACAAACTTAAGAACTAACCAATAGGTATTGAGTTTGACCAATTGCTACTATAATATTTACAAAATAAAAGCACATTATTTGTAGTCAAGACATATGTTGAGGATGTTAATTTACATACAACATATTTCATTATTGAGATACTACCTCACAATAATAACATACTTTCTTGTTGTTATTGTGAGATACTATTTCAATATTATGAGTTAGTATCTCCTTATTTTGACTTATTATTTCCTAAGTTGCGGAAAAACAGAAAACAGAACGAGACTGCAGATGATTTGTTTTTATTAAAGAAACTGAAGGGTCTTGTGGTTTGATGGTTGTCAGTGGTTATCAGGTCCCTGACCCTGGTATTACTGCAGTGAAGGTGCTGCTGCCACCTAAGCCGTTGCTGTTGCTGTTGCTGCCACAGCTACTGCTGTGTATGCTGAGGTCGGAATGTAATCCACACTCAGAGGGATTAAGAGTCGAATTGATGGAGTCAGAGCTCATGTAACAGCAAAAACCTCTGGTTAAGGACCAAGAACACAGCTGTGGTCTAATAAAGATAGGGACTCTCTCTCGATGCTAGCAAGGGCTTCTCTGCTGGTCTGAATCCGTGACTTATTTTTCCAATATATTTATTAAGAATATTCATAAAAATATAGTGTAGAGAATTCTGTCTTCATCAATTCATAGCTGTTTCCGTGGTTGCGTTGCTTCACAGTCGTGCACTCAAAATGTTTTATCCATTGGCAATGAAATTGTTAATTAACCAATCAGAGTTGGCCACACCAGTCTAAAGTAGGATAATATGAATTGAGCAATATTTCGGAATAGTTACATCACAGTTAGATGAGTTATTTCTACTGAAAATTCGGACAAAATGAAAAATACCCCACAGACCAAGAAAAATCTTTCCACTTTGGATTATTGTCGAACATGTTTTGGCCTTTAGGGAAAGTGAATTGAAAGTGATTTATTGTCACTGTGACACAACACACCACATCACATCAGAACACAGTGATGTTAGGGAAGAGAAATGAAGAACAACAGAGTGAGAGGACGGCTTAGTATGAGAAAATTTATTTCACATTTTTCCATTTACACATCATCAAGGACAAATAGTGTTGCATGTGAATGTTGTTGCACTGCAGGGCCTTAAGACTTGGTCCACGCTCACTCCCACTGTGCCTCCCACTGTGACTCCTGTCTGTATGTGTCAGCGTGGTCGTTTTTTACAGACTGATGTTGAGGTAGAAGTGTGGAGTAAATTAACCTTACTAGTCCGTGTTTTTCCTCGAAAAGGAACTATTAGCAGGAACCATATTCAAAGCAACGATTTAGAGAACCCTCTGGAAATGTAGACTTTTCATGGGAAAAGTCTAAAACCATAGAAACAATTTTTCTTTGGAAAGCTCACTACAGAGGGTAAGATCAGAGATGTGGCCTAGAATTATAACCATTAGGGATGTCGATACGCGGATTTTCTCAAAACGCTTAATTTCCGATTCCGATATAAACCGATACTGATATATGCAGTCAAGACATTGTGTTACTGGATTCTCATTATCGGAGGTTAAACCGATAACGACATTACATATTACCGGACATCTCTGATAACCATTGATTTAATATAAAACATTTGAAAAGAAACACGTCCCCATGGGAATTGCAATTTGCACAAATGAGACGTCTGAAGAGCTACGATTCGGAATTTCTATTAGGCCGAAAATAACCGCAAAGTCATCTTAATGGCTCTCTACGATGATTGTCTATAACTGGGGAACATTTTGGTATTATGTCTTTTTTTTGCCCAGAAGAGGGCGCACTGCAAAGACTGCTAACATCCTTGCCCTTGATTTAACAATACACAAGACATCGATTAAGGAAGCCTCTGCTACTTCAAAGGAATATTGCTACACACCTAAGGATTGCGAAAGGAGCACTTGGGACAGTTCTTAATGCTACCAGGAAAACGTTTTGAGACATGGTAAAAACCAAAATTGAACTATTCCGGAGGGACATCATGATGGACAAGACAAGGACAGGGTTTGCGTGCGGTTGTGTACTGCACACGTGTTGTGTACATCGGTGCCTTTGACTTGGATAAAATCGGACAATTCTTTCATTACCAACTCCGATGGGTGTCAAAGACGATCTACTGCATATTTCGTACAATGTATCAATGTATGTGCAGGAATTACAATAATACCTCTCCTATCGCGATAGTTGCATTCCAAGACCCATCGCACCCAATGGGTGGTGGAGGTGAGACTGAGCCAATCAGGGTGAAGAGCATGCTCAATTAGCCAATAGTACACCATTGTATTAGCCAACATTATGCTTGGTACAATCTAGTCAAGGTAAACAAAGCGACCAGCGATCGTTCGCAAATGCGCTTATCTCGATTTCAAAACGAGAATCCACATTTTGAAAGCCAAAACCTTCGTATGTATAAGTATTTTCGAATGTCTTTTAGTTCATATTTGAAGTAAATTTGGCTAGTTTTTTTTTTCCGTAATGTAGCAAAACATTTCACAAGATCGGATTAAATAAAAAACTGCGAGTACTGAGGGAGCAAAAGGAGAACCGTTGTATTCATATTTTCACCATCGGGACCAGGAATCACAATATGAATAAAGCCTGCTTCACAGGACAGTTTACAGTCACGATGATGCTTTAGAGCATGGTTGGAGGGGTATGTTGTACAAATAAACCTAGTCAACAAGAGGGCCAAAAATTGTACTGTTACTGTGCTTTTTGAATCAGTTCCACTTACAGCGATTTTCAAATGGGTGCAGCGACCCATTAGGCCAAAGGTCCCTGGAGGTGTGAAACCCTTTTCTTATTATCCGTCAAAAGGTCAACAGTAAAAGTTATGAGGTTTTGGATATAGGGGTTAAATGACAAAAAGCAGAGTCAGGGATAAGACACATGAGATGACGCGACAAGACAGCACAGCATTGTTATACAACTAACAGACACACACTTGTAGTTGTCAGCAGCTGGTCAGGAGAGCGTAGAAATAAATCAGAAACTTTTAGGAATTTCCTTGGCGATTGCGTTGCAGTCAGGTCTATTCTGGACTTATTTTGTTTCGGTTTTGTCTAAGTGAAAGCTGGGGCATGTTAAAGCTTTCACATTATAATAATTATAATATTGGAGGTTGTGTCAAATCGTAACAATCGTTGACTCCTAAGGTTGACTCAAAAAAAAAAAAAAAAAGTCGCACAGGCACTTTTTCTTTTTAGAAGAAAACACAAACACAACCACTTGCATTAAGGCACCACAGATAACAGTTATCACACACACACACACACACACACTGTGGTTGTATTTCACAACAGCGACACGGCTCCATTTTAAAAAAAAAGGAATTATCAGAATTTCCGTTTTTTTTATTATTCCGGTTGATGAACAATAAAACTGACTATTTGTGCCATATTTTTTTCCAATTTTAACATAAACATTTTCACCCACCCCCCCCCCCCCCGGCCATTTAAGCTTTTACAAACAATCCGAACTTTTGACACGTGTCAGTGTCAGTGTCAGCTACTGTTAAAAAAACCCGATGAGCGACATCAGAGAGGAGAGCTTTTAGAAGGACACCTGACGTACAATGGAATGGAATTGTGCCTTAGAACTCGTTTTTTTTTTTTTTTGAATGCAGAGTAGGGGCAAACAGTCCCATGAAAACTGAACATGGGGGTTTTTTTAAATTACAACCAGTCCCATGAAAACTGACCATGAGTGTTTTTACAAATTAAAATTTTTTATTTTTTTTTTTTAAAAACTTGCCAAAGCCTTAAACCTGCTTTTCATTTGAATAAAATAAAATAAATACACATCCGTTTACTGTTAAAAAAATGTGTCCGTTTTCACCATACACAGTGACACCCTGTGACTGACAGCCTGTACTGCGCCATAGGAGCAGTACGTACTTCCGGTGAACATTCACAGTGCATAGGGCCCCAATTCCGCAGGGCGGGGTGGGGTGTCTATTCATTTCTTATTAAAATGTTTGACATAGCTCGCTATCGCCATCTACTGGAAAGTCTAACTCATAACAGCTATAGCTGTGTTGACAGAGGAAAATATACATTTTGAAATGTATTTATATTTTTGTCATTCATTTCAATCTGTAGACTAGCATTAAGACAATGCTATCTGTGCTGTGATGGATGTCCACTAGGGGCCAGGGGGCAACTGGGTCGGTTTTGGTTCGGATGGTTGGGACCCGGCTTGAAAATCCTCGCTCGGGTCTAGAAAACAGTCTGTATGGTGTAAAATGTTCAAGGGAAAGGTTTTTGTTGTTTCAAGGGATTGGTTGACCAAACGCACCTGCTCGATGTCAGACATACACCTGCTAATGTAGAGAAAACCAGCACCAGAAATCAGCAGAGGTAAACACGCATGCACGCACGCACTAATCTATGGGTTTAATAATCATATGTGAGTGATATTTCTAAAATCTTTCTCAGACATTTTTACCAACGTCATCCTGACCTCTCTATCCATTTTGACTTGAATCGAATCTGAATCAGCGTCTGAGACAGTCTTTAAACCCCAGACTGTCTCTTTCTTGGCCGTACACCTATATTATATACCGTAAAAACCAGGAAGAGAAAAAAAAAAAAAATACATAACCTCACACCACATCCCGTAGGTCAGAACTCTGTGGTCTCCTGCGGAGGTTCTGAAGAGCAAAGCAGCGTTAGCGGCACCGGGGGCAGAGGCCCTTCTTATACGCCACAATTCCCGCAACGCTTAATGCGCAGAGAAGGGCCGAGGCTCCTGAAAACCTTATTAGGCCTTTAACTGAAGGAAGGTTACGCTCCCAGAAGGTGGTAATGAACGGGAAAGCAGGAACTTCCTGTCAAATCAGGAATTGAAGAAGAAAAAAAGAAAAAAAATTAGGGGTGAGTTTGAGTGACCGTACCTTTTCACGTACACTTTCTCACCTCACACGGAGGTTCGGACTGCCAGATCTGACTTTGGGGGATTTTACCCATCACGCACATGACCTGCAGGAAGAGACAGGAGATCAGTCAGCAGGAGGACCCAGAAGGAGGTTGATGAAAAAGAAGCATCTACTTAAAAGTTCCCAGCAAAATAATAATTGATTATTGTCTTTTGTATTTCAAAATATTTAAAGATCACTCAAATGAAGGAAAATCAAAATGGTCTAATTTCTGTTTTGAAGACATTCTTAGGACGTCGTAACTACTAGTGATGCTCTCATTGCAAATTTGGGCCAATTAGGATTCCCTTCAAATTACAGTGTATACAAAATGGTATATTAACATTTACATTACCAATATAATTTACATTAACAATATATAATTCTCATAATATGGCAATATACGGGGAAGAAAAGCTGCTCATGTTTGCTGGTTCTATACATTTTTTTTGGGGGAACTTTTGCCCTTCATTATGGCTCCCCCGGGCCGTAAATCAGACTCTTCTGATGTTTTTTTTTTTTTTTCCCCAATCTAGCAAAATGCTAGCTTGAGCTAGAATGGATGCACGAAGCGATCGGCTCATTGAGGTGCACTGATACCGACTGTATCATAATACTGTAACTTAATGTTATTAGCACCTCTCGCGCTGCCCTCTCTCCGGCCTGAACGGCACCTTCCATGTAGCCACTCCATTCCGATGCTGTTTCTGTTCCTGCGAAATACAATCGACCCACAGGCTCCCGTAACACCCTGACGAAAAGATAACACAAACAATCAGCTGAACGGATTTTAACGTCAGGATTAAAACAATTCCCGTGCTCCGTTTCCTACCGGCCGAACTGTGTGAGGATTCCGGGAGGGAAGTAGGCCGTGTAGCAGCCTCCGGAATATTCCTCCTCACACCAGTTTTTCTCCTCGTAGTGCACAGGCTAAATGGGTCACATTTGCCACATTATTGGTTTTGAGCCGGGGAAATTAATTTAATTTGATTCTAGAGTCGAACTTACGTGCAGAGCTTCTTCCGAGCAGAGAACCTTGGAGTAGATCTCACAGATTCTCTTCAGTCTGAGAAAACAAGTTTGGGTAAAAATGATCATCCAAAGCAAATGTTGTGAACTGTTAAAGTGTGCGTGATGGACTCACCTCTCCTCTTTGGTTAGGTCACACAGTTTTCTACACTTACGAGCCAGAATGAATCTGGAAGGAAAAAAAAATACATTTTTTTTTGTTTTTTTTTTTTGTTTCAGAGCCAAAGGCCTCCAGCGCCCTCTCCAGGCTCTAAATCAAGTGTGGTGTTGTCAGTGACTTTACCCCATGATGGCAGGAACAGTCCCATCAGGCTTTGTGTCGTCCAGGGTCAGACCTATGGGAGCTCCTTCCTCCTCGATCACCATGCTGCCACAGTAGCCTGGACATTTGAATTAATGTCTCCTCTGTTCTATGCCTTTCACATCTGTTTAGGTTGTACTCTTATTTAAAAAAAAAAAAAAAAAAAAAAAAATTCAAAAATCCAATTTCTCCGCTATTCACCTTTCTTCCTCCAGAAGTTCTCTTTGTAGTAAACCATACACTTGATGACTGAGCCCATAGGTACCCGGTGGATCAGCTGGTTCCTCAGCGGGGGCAGCTCGGGATTAAAGTGCATCTTCAGATTCAGGCCAGGAGGGGTCGCTATGATCACATACTTGGCCTAAAAGACAGCGCCGTGGGCAGCGAGGAGAGAGTAATAATAATTAGGGGACGTCTGATATTAACGTTTTGCCAATATTGTCCAAATACTTAACGTCCGATTTCAAGATCGACCGGTATCGATATTCATAGCCGTTTTTTGAACCAAAACTGTGGTAAACTTCTCAGCATCCCACAATTGATTCCAGAATATATGGATTATGGATACAGGGATTGCGTTATTGGGTTTTCATTATTTTTGGACGAAAAAAATTGCTAGTGATTCTTACAGATATTACATAATTACACTAATATCGGGCCGATAATATCGGATGACTGATATTTTTACACATCCCCCATAATAATACATTTATTCAATAACATAATAATATTATTGTATAAATGTAAAATATAAAACATAACACATTTAAGGTGAGACCAGCAGGTATAATGATATTATTGTATAAATGTAAAATAAAAAACATGTAAAAATAACACATTTAAGGTGAGACCAGCAGGGGTCAGTAGAGAGCTATATGACAATGATAAATATGACTGCTGAAACAGAAAAAATAACAGCAAGTAGATTTTGTGACTGATCCAAATCTGACAAAATGTCAAAAAATGTAAAACTGAAAAAAAAAAAAAAAAAAGTCTTCATAGAGATGGATCTAAGTCGTAACTGCTCATCTTCTTGTCGGGAGCTTCCTTAAAAACACCAACATTACAATCTACGGTGTCAGTCAGCTTGTCAGCCGTACATTGAGCTAACCAGCTAATGGCTAATGTGACGCAAGCTGATCGTCTAACGCATAAAAAATTAGCACACTAACACACCGGTTGAGTTAGTATTTTAAGCTGCTGCAGAGTGTGCAAATAGCCTGATCCGGCCCACCAAACTTTTCCGAATGATATTATTTATTTATATTCTCATTATACTTCTGCTTCTTTCCCTGCAATACCCACAATTCTCCAATAGATGGCGAAAATGCTAAAAGCATTTACACCTCATTTATCTTAGTTCCCATGACAACGAATCTATCTGCTCCTGACCTGGCGCCCCCTGTTCACTTTTAGGAGAACTGTGCCCCGCGAGTCAAAACGTTTGCCCAGGCCCAACATAGGCAACTCCCTATGTTGCCTCTAGGGGGCCGCCCCCATGGCAGGACGAGCTGAAAGTGACTCTTCAGACTGTGTGCTTCACAAACCATCTGCTCACTTTTATCCTTTTTTTTTATCTTAACGTGTCAGACTCAGGTTGTCGTCTTTACCTTGTAGATGTGTTTGCTCAGCGTCTCCACCGCCACCAGCTCCCCCGTCTGGTCGATGCTGTAAACTGCAGACTGAAGCTTCACTCGGTCGCCCAGCTCCTTGGCCATGCACTGGCTGATCTGACCGGAACCACCCACAAACTTCCTTTCCTGCAGAAAGATAAATCCAACATATGCTACATACCTGAGTTTGTTTTAATAAAAGATGCCTCTCCCTTTATTACACCGCTCCGTTACAGTATGTTCGGATTAAATTGGCAAATATAAATGTAATGATTTTCAATGTAGGCAGATCGCTTTTTCCCTGGACATTTGAATAATAGCTCCCATGCCAAAGAAATTGTGGCGCACCTGGCCTAAATACTTGAGACTTGAATCAGTAAAGATCATTAAGTTACCAAGCCATCTCTCTGTAGGACCATTAGAGTCTGGACCAACGTGTAGCGAACGGGTTCCCAACTTCCGGTCCGGGGACCGGTGCCGGTCTGTAGGTCATTTGGTACTGGACCACAGTGGGACACAGTGTAAAAATGTACTTCAGTTTCAGTAATTTACTTCATTAATAAAAAGCCATCATATCCCTTAATGTCCCAATGTTTCAAAGACTCTGATACTAACAGAATAAAGTCTAAAAGATTTTTTATTTACATATTTATTTCATTTTGGAAATTGAATAATCCTTCAACAATGGCGCGCTATTACCGGACTGCAGTAACGGCTGATACCGGCCGACTGGTCCTCGGTACGAAAAAGGTTAGGGACCACTGGTGTACAGAGTAAAAGACCAAAAAAAAATTTGCTTTATTATCTTTATCAGACTGATCTTCTGATCTTCTGATCTGAAAATCAGAAAATCATCAGATGAAGGAGCAAATAGTCGTTACTAGTGATCAGCTGCTGTGTACTTGACAGGGAAAAAAAGCAATACTTTACAGTAAAACATTTGTTGTACTCATAAATATCCCGACTACATGAATGACTCATTTGAAGCGTTGGGATGAAATGTTTGTGGCTAATGTTGTTCTGTATCAGTTTGGTTTGTGGAAAAATGGAAGAAATTCAAGACATCGCATGCAAGCGGACGCTCTACCTGCCCTCCGTTGGTAGTGGAGAAGATCCTCATGGTTCCTCCGCACTGCTTCACGTACCAGAGGAACCACAGCGCAGACACCTCGTGGGGTTCAGAGGTCACGTTCACGTTAATGAAGAGCGTGGCGAAGCGGCGAACAGTTCTACGGAGAGAAAAGATCGGAGGAACGGTTTAGGGATGGGTCCGACCTCGAACCGGTGCATTTTCAAACAAAGAAATGCTAGACGAAGCTCACGAGGGATACCTGGTCCAGCAAATCTTTTCAAAGAGCTGCTGCATACTCATTTTGTCCCACTCCTCTGCATGAGGAGCTCTCCAAGGAGCTTCCCTGGGAATCTAGAAGTGAGACAGGGATGGGACTCTTTAGAGGGGAAAAATGAAAGAAACAAAACAAAAAAAAAAAAATAAGGAAACAATCTCTCTTTACCTCTTTTCCCATTTGGTCCATCGTCCTCCACAGGTTGTTAAAGTCCAGCAGAACCAAAGGGTTCCAGAAGGGAGGGAATGAACCTTTAAAGGGGTACGACTTTCCCTGTTTGACACAGAACAAAGGCTCATCATCAAGCCAGAACATTCCAAATGTACTGCTAAATACTACTGCACAATTCGAATTTCACTATAATATTGAATATATATGTACATTATTTTCCAGAGTATAGGTCGGAATTTTTTTTTTTCATCCTTTGACTGGGTTTGCGACATATACACAGCTGCGACTTGTATATTAAAATATATAATTTCACATTTTGTTATTTTCACCCTGACAGCCACTAGAGGGC